CTTCATCTTCAGGGTTGAATTATATAGGTTCGGGAAGTGGCTGGTTGCAAGGAAGGCAACAATGAGATGTAAGTCTTTGGACTGTTGTATCAACCACTTCCACACCTTCAACCACTTCCAACCACTTCAACCTCTTCATCATCAGCAAAACGTTCACCACCAAGGTGAACCACTTTAAGCTACAAACACGTCCAAATATAAACAGGAAACATTTCTTTATGAATAACATTTGTCCTGAGGCCTGCACATCCCCCCTCTCCCTGTTAAAAGTCTGGCATTCACTATCAAGTTAGACTTGTGTGACTTTGTGTATGTGTTTGATGACTAATTCCACATCCTGGGTTTGTTCCCTGTATTTTTATGGAAAGTGGAGGATGTGTATGTATGTATATGATGAGTCCTGTATCAATGTATTTTGATTTATGGGAAAATTATATTAATTTTAAGTTTTTATAGTAATGCACTTTTTAAATTATGTTTAGTTACAATTGTAATAAGCTATTGTTTTGTTTTTTTATATTACCTATGTTAGTTAACTGGTGTGTGTTATTTTAGTTGTGTGACTTATGTAATCTATTATATGTATACATCTATAATTATAGATGTATACATATAATAGATTATAATCAAATGGACTATTTCCACATCCTAGGAATTTTGCCTGTATGGATATATGGAAAATAAAGGAAATGAATGAATGAATGAAAGAGATGTTACTGCTCAAATTTTGTGGAATTAGAGGATTATCTCATGCTGAGTTTTGTTGAGCAGTTTTATTTAATTATACCATGGAGATAATTTAGACTTTATAGGTTATTTTGTAGGTTGTAATGTCTGTTGCTGCCCAGCTGACATTCAAGGCAATGAAAGTTGGTAACTTTTTCCAGTTTGGTATTATTTATCATTATATAGGTTTTTATTGTGTCCCTTTAAGGGCTAATGTTTTTGTTTTGACTGTAAGCAGTTGGTGCAATAGTTTCCGAAGAGAGAGTTCTGATGCAGTCATAATCTCTTGATCATCACCAAAGAGTAATGTTATCAAGGTACTAGTTAGGAGGTGGTTACTGTTTTTCCATTTTGTTATGACATGGCCTGAATGTAGGTTAGTTAATACTGGTGACAGTCGCCGCACTCCTTAATTTATTTATACAGTATGTGAAGACAGTGCATGTTGGAAAGTTACATTCTTTCCTTTTTTGTATTGAGGCTACTTTGATTTTTCTTTAGAATACTTTCTGCTTATGTATTTTTTTACTGCTAGTGGGGTGGGACTAAGTCCCTTGTACTGTGGCCACTTCTGGCCTGTTGTACCAGCCCGAGATGATAGGTGAGGGTGATTGTGGAGCAATTGGTGGAATGAAGATTGGCAGGGGAAACCGAAGTACTCAGAGAAAACCTGCCCCAGCGCCACTTTGTCCACCACAGATCCCACTTGACCAGACCCGGGATCGAACCCGGGCTGCTGCGGTGGGAAGCCAGCGACTAACTGTTTGAGCTATGGCGCGGCCTGCTTTTATGTTTACTCTGATAATATTTTAGCATATGTTTTATGAGAAGTAATCAATGAACGTAGGCTGTTATAGTTAGACCATTGTGTTCTCTTGCCCTTTTTAAATATTGGAGATATCACAGCCTCTTTCCATTCTTCAGGGAAGGAACCAGTTTTCCAACATATGCTCAGAAGTTGTAAGAATTGAAAGCGATAGGACAGCAGTGCCTTTTTGTTTATTAATTCTATATTTATGTCATCTCAGCCTGGTGCTTTTTGTTTTTGAAGTTTTGAATTATTAGTAAGAGTTCATCCAGAGTGATAATATTTGTTTTAACATCATTTTCAGCCATTGTATTGATTACTACTTTGCTTGTCCACAGTTCCTGGTAATACCGTTACCATTGATGTAGAACTGTAAGGGGGGGGGGTATTCAGTGTATTGTGTCATTTTCTGTTTTAATTAACTGTCTGATTATTTTGACGTTTAAAACGTTATTATAGGAGGGTGCAAATGGAATGAAATCATTAGTAATAGAAAATGTAACAAGTTTCCGTAAGTAACAATATGTAACAATTCGTAATTACTGGTACCTTCGCTGCTAAGTAACTGAAGTTCTGTTGTTGACCTTGTTACCATGGAAATGTGCACAGTGAAGCATGTAGGAGAGTGTGGACATATTGCAAATGAAATACGGTAATGAACGCGAGCTCTATGGTTACTTCAATTCCACTGTTTAGTGGATGATGCAATATTATAGGCAAGCTGGCAGCATATGACAGCATGCACTGATAAGATGTCTGCTGGAATGAAGCCATAAGTATCTTGGTAACGCGACAAGTAATTAACTCTTTGACTGGCACGGGCGTGTTTTAACGCCCGGACGATGCCAGCCGTTCCCTGGCGTTGGCGTGTTTTAACGCTTTGACAATCTCTTCCCTTCTATGCTCTCTTGGCACTCATCAACCAAAGACATATATACGATAGTTTTTGTGCATGTTTGTAAAGAACCCTTGTAAACTTTGTGGGGGTCTATATTACTCTCAGAACTCTCTGAGAAGGAAAAGGTCAGAAAATATTTCATATTCATTCAGTTTCACCATGGCTTCTTGCAGCAAGTCACTTCGTGTTCCTATAGACCAGCTGGAAAATGTTGTGAACGAAATTTTTTCTGATGATGATAGTGGCGATGAAATAATGATTCCTGTATTGGATAAAGTTGATAGTGACAATAATACAGTGATAGACAGTGATCCACAAGACAGTAATCATGAACATTTACCTACCACGATTGCGGTGTTTGACACGCCCATCTCATGAACGTACGGAGACATTGTAGCAAAAATCGTTCCTTTTGCTGGTAGTTTCGGGATCAAAATTGATATAACACATAAAATGCATCCCTTTTCATGGATTAAAACTTTTTCTGGATGATGACTTGGTAAATCACATCACAACAGAAACCAATCGCTATGCTCACCAGCACTTCAACACACATGAGTTAGCTACTCACTCTCGAAAACACAATTACAAATATGTCACATCAGATGAAATCTGGACATACTTAGGAATTGTGTTCATGACAGGAATCGACAGACGCCCTGAAATTGAAGAATATTTGTCCACTAGGCCCCTATTTCACAATCCATGATATGGACAAAACATGTCTTTGCGGTTGAAGTTTCATTCTATTCAAAAAGAAAACAACAAACGAAAAATACAAAAAGAGAAATTACAAATTCAAAGATTTTATAATGGACTGTGTATAAAAATGACTGAACCAAACAAACAGGGTGGAGAGGGAGAAGATTCAAGGAATGAATACGAATCTATTGCGTCAGACTCGAGTGCAGTCACGCCTCCGCCCTCGACCTTGAAAAGACCACCAGTGTAAGAGCCAGTAAATCGTCTAGAGGCTGGCCTGAAAATTCACAAAATGGTCCATGTTCCTCCCAGTAACAATAAGAAGAATGGTGCCCTGAGAAAGTGTCGCGTGAGTGCTAAGCACAAGATTAGAAAAGAAACAAGTATCATGTGTTCATGCTGTGGTGTGGCTCTTTGAAACTTTCATGTTTCAATGTTTATCACACGAAGAAAAACTAATAAAGAGGTATGGAAAGGCATTTATTGCATAAAATATTGTATTTTAATTAGTTCCTGAAAATTTCGTTTTTAAAAACCAATTTTTGTTGAAGTTGTTTAGGAAAAAGTAACTACATGCATTTTAGCGACATAAGGTTTAAAGGGCCTGCCAAGAAAGGGGTGGGATTTGAATACCCTTCGTGCCAGTCAAAGAGTTAATTGGTTCTTGGGATTGATGAAACACATAAAACTTTATCTGCTGATTTGTAGCACTCTAAAGATTACTGCAACTGTAGCACACAAAATAAAGTCTTCAATTTCTGCTTGCTAGTCATTGCTCAGTAACAAATCTTACGTAGTTAACACTTCACAACTGAATATTCAATTACTGAACAGCCTTCTGAATTCTATTATGAATGAATGAATGAATTGAATTCAGGAATGAACTCTCTTTTATAAGTTCGGGAGGACCTCATGTAAGCCACCACACTGAACAGTTCATCTGTTGGTCTCGTGTATCCACTGTAGCGGAAACACCTGTTGATCCCAAGATTCCTTGTATCCACGAGAACCTTTGCTGATTCTTTATTGACATAAGAATGGGTTTTAGCGAGCTGTTGCCTAGCAAACGGACTTCTGCTTGTTCGTTGCTATTCCGGCTTTCACGTGGTGTTTACTGAAACGTTGCCTAGCGAACTCTGGTTGGAGCATTTGATACATACCCTCCTGTACTAAAGCTACATGCCTGAAGATACTTATGAATTAGATGAAATCAACCAACGTTTTAAGTGTTAATCCTCAGAACCAAGGTTCCCCGGTCATTTTTATAGGCCTTGTCTTGACGTCCATGCGCATCATATTCTAGATCTACTCCATAAGAGGTTCCAGTGTTTTCCGTTAATTTTCCTTATTCTATGTTCGCTGTTGTGAGCCTTAATTATATTTAGCTATGTCTGTCGTAGAATTACTTTTTAGAAATGCATGGTATACATGCTTGTTTTATTTTCTGTTCCATATCTGTATTCCACATTTGTTATTCGTATGGTAACTGTTCTACCAGCGGAATAAAAATATAGAATAGTTTAGATGTTATATGCTTGCTATAAATTCAGATATTAATTTTTCTTTGTACCTTAATTTATAAATCAGTGTTTTCTCTACTCACGGTGATATTTTGATCCAATTGACGTTTTACTCTCATATTGTTGTATCTGCAGAATATTTGATGATTTTTTCCTACAATGTAAGTAATATATTAACAGGTACCTATGTGTTTAAAGTTCACATGGAGAGTTAAGCCACCTTATGATCAACCTACTGCAGCTGCATGTTCATCAGGCTCATGTGGAATGTGCTTGGGCTACTTGGGTTTCAGGATCAGTTTTAATTTTGGACTGTTTCATAAACTATTGTTTTATGATGTTGTAGATCCTGCTGAACCAGATAAGATGACAGCAGAAGGAATTATGAGGTTTCTAGATGACTTGTGTTTAAGTCCAGAGTCAAAGCTTGTTCTCATCATTGCATGGAAGTTTAGAGCAGCAACACAGTGTGAGTTCACAAGAGATGAATTTATGTCAGGCATGACAGATGTGGGGTAAGTGACACCAGTTTAAAACTTGCCACCATGAAATAAAATACTCTGCAGCATGAGATGTTCCTGCAAAATTCAGACTGAAACAACATATGTGCTGTTAGTTATTGTCATGTATATGGAGTGTAACTATAGACGGGGTTATGTTTGATAATCAGATTTATTGTACTTTTTGATACACTGTGTGTGACTACACTTCACATTACACTGTAATGCACACATTTTCTGTCTCACTCACTCACGTGACCTCAGCTGCCAGCTTCTCATAGCAATGGCTCATAATGACTGAACCTCAGCAGTTTTCTAACTTAATTAACTCATCAACCAACTTCTCACTAACTCTAGCTCCTAACTTGGCCTGCTCATAACGTCTTGGCACAGACCTTGTAGAAAGTACCACTTTGTATTATTGTTGTATCCCCTTGTTTCCATGGAATTGTTGCCTTCATGTCTGTTGGTGGACCTGCTACCTAGCAACAGGTGTTGCATAGTTGCTTGTTTCACAGTTGTTGCCGCAGTATAAGTAGTTTTTGCATTAATGTTTGTTAATGTCATTGTAACCTTTAGCGATGGTCATAGTTATTCTCTTTGGTTATTTGCAAGAACTTCGCAATACGGTGACCATGAGTTGAAGTTTCTTCTATATGTACCTGTGTCATGCCATTTCCCAGCAAGTTTAAAATGAAATTCATGTTTCATTAATGCTCACTTAACTCCTTACATGCGTAACTATATTAAATTTGATTATGTGTGGCTTAACCTGCCCCCAAATTTGAGTTTATAAGATAAGTATAAATGTATGTTCATATATGAGAAAACTGTATACAACTATCTGTCATTGAGCAGTGTAACTACTTCAGAATGTCTGAGAAGCAAATAAGTTATAAGAAACTGGTCACCATTGTGTAAAATTATTCCTGTGCTTCCCTGTCAAAATTGCAGTATCATTTTGCAAGTAATTATCTGATTTTATGAATCCTCCTCAGGAAAACTGTCATTTGATAACAGAACCATAATTTTATTGCTGAAATGAGAAGCTTCAGATTGGATAGAAAGGATTCAGTTCCTTGCTGGGGCTTTGGAGTTTTTCTTTTCACCAGCAGAGCCAGGAAGTCTCTGAGACCCACTCATTTTCCTATTGAATGAAACATGGGGTGCTTTCTGCAGAGGTAAAGGTAGCAGTAGTGTGAAACTGACCATTTACTTGCATCTAATGCATACATTAATACGGTAAGAATATTCTCTTCTTCTGATGTGGTGATAAAGAGTTGTGTGTCCCCATGTTCATGCATGCCCAATTCCAAATATTTTTTTTTAGTTCATGTAGTTAAACAGTTTTGCAACAGTTCATTAGTTATGCAACAGAGTCATTCATGTGAAAGATGGAGTTAAGTCTTGAAACACATTTTGGAAGGTTCATGGTAAAGAATGCTCCCAGAAATTCTGTGTTTGCCATCATGTATTGGATAAAAAAGTAATATGAAGTGAAACCTCAATTCATCATTTCTGTTGAGAATACTGAAAAAAAAAACGATAGATATGGAAAAACGATAGCTGTGGGAGCCTGTATAAAATGAATAAAAACAGTCACATTCCATGATTTATTTAAACCGTCTTGCAGTGCATACACTCATCTATCTCCTTCTCTCACTCGCACTACATGTTTTGGCATAATAATGCCATCTTCAGGTGCTTACTCATCCACGTCAAACTAGTTCATTGCATGCCTTGTCCTCACATTAAAATAACTAAAATATATATCTATCATATATATTGACAAATGTCGAACGTTACAAATATTCGACATTTGTCAATATATATGATAGATATATATTTTAGTTATTTTAATGTGAGGACAAGGCATGCAATGAACTAGTTTGACGTGGATGAGTAAGCACCTGAAGATGGCATTATTATGCCAAAACATGTAGTGCGAGTGAGAGAAGGAGATAGATGAGTGTATGCACTACAAGACGGTTTAAATAAATCATGGACTTAAATCAGTGCAACAGGACGCTAAAATATAACAACAGTCACATTCATTATGTGTATTTACTAAATCAAATAACATACACCATTGATATTACTTCCACTGTTAAGTAAATTTGGATTACTTCTTTTTAAAAAATTTAAAATCATAATTTGTTTAGTAGCACCCTTCCTTTTCAAACTGAATAATAACCTATCAATGTTAACAATATTCAGTCAGTCTTTTTTGGTGATGTGTGCATACATGAACGCCCTCATTGACTTAAATGCACAAAGTGCTTCCATAAAACTCAGCACTGGTTTGACCTCGGCTTCATTGTCATCATCACCACCAGCACCTTGCCCCTCCTCCATGCAACTTCCACTTCCCACCACACCACACATTGTTAGCCCCTGGTCCACAGATACATAGGCATCAAAGTCCACGCCAGCAGTGCTTACCCCCAGCCAAACCCAGTCTTCATCTTGATTGATGTCATCCTCACCACTTCCCTTGACCTCCATCATATCTGACCCTTCTTGATTCATCTTCAAGTGGCCACAATTCACAAAACAATTCTGGATTGTTGACGGGGTCACTTGTTGCCAGGTCGAAACAGTAAAGTAATGGCACACAGGATGTCAACCTTGAGTCTGATCCCTCTGCCTGCATCCATCAAATATACAGCCCTCTGCGCTAGATGCTTCCTGTACACCTGCTTGAAGCACTTGATCAGATCCAAATCAAGAAGCTGTACGACACTGGTGCAGTTTGGGGGCTAAGAAACAACCTTTACATTCCTCAAAGAGGATGTGCCTGGAGAATGAGTGGCACAATTATCTATGGAGAGGAGGATTCTCCTGCCTAGTGCACCAAATGATGCATCAAGAGCATGCAGAAAGTCTCTGAAAATCTCTGACATCATCCATGCTTTTGAGTTGGCATAGTAGGTCACAGGTAACTTCTTTACATTTTGGAAACACCATGATTTTGCAGACTTTCCAACAATAATGGGTACTTGTTTGTCTGTTTGTGCACAGAAGCACCATGAGTCACTCCTTCACGCTTTTTTTTCCCATGGCAGTTCTCTCCTTTCAGTGCCAGCATTCAGTTTGGCAGGCAGTTGAAAAAGAAATCTGTTTCATCTGCATTATAGATGTCCTGAGCCTCGTAGTCCTCCAGGAGCTCCGGAAGCCTTTCAGGCCAGAGGTCCATGGCATTGGTGTCCAGAGCAGTGCTGTTCCTGGCTAGTTTCTTAAATACCAGGCCGTGGCGTTGCTTGAAGCAGGAGATCCTACCGTTTGAAACTGAAAAATTCTCAGTCCCCATTGTTGCAGCTGTTTTGAGGGATTTCTCCTGCAGGATGGCCCCATCCATGGATATTCCTGATGCTCAGGCCTGCTGGTACCAGGAAAAGAGGACATTTTCCAGCTTGCTGTAGATTGACTCCTTGCCTGTCTTCCTCTTCTTGGCTCTATACTCTCTGATCTCCCTTTTCTTTGCAATAATCGAATGTAGGGTTGATGGTGGCAGGCCTAGTCGCTTGGCAACGTCGGTCCTCTTCTCTGATGGGTTTTTCTCCACCTATTTTATGATGCACAGTCATTCTTCTAATGTCCGAACTTGTTTCACAGGAGATGCCATTGGGAGAAATTTGTTTTAAAGATAATGTGACCCTAACAGTAACATGAAGCACTGTAGAGGATCGAACAGACGTGATGAACTGTAAACTCAACTGATAGGAAGTGCAAATTGAAATGATTTACACTAACATTCAAGAAAGATTTCCCAGCTGGACCAGGCTCTAGCTAGCCCCTCTTCCTCTCCACCTTGTTGTCTTGAGGTCTCGCAGTGCACAGCTGACAGTACAGAGCCAAAACTGCAACTTGCTACACCATGTTCCAAAAACATAATCGCTGTTACTACCACCAGTGCATACTAACAGTGTGTGCGCCATGCTGCTCTTTCTTAAGAACAGTCAATCTGGGATTAACGTTCTTCGGGACTAAAAATTCTGATAAATAAATGTGGAAAAACGATAAATTGAAGAGCAACTGATGCAGGTTTTATTTCAATAGTTTTAATATGATTTGTTAGGGATCACAGAAATTTAATGATGGATCCAGGAAAGTGATACATCCCTGAATGATAGATTGAGGTTTGATTGTATTAAGTTACCTACCTTCATTGCCTAATACCTAAATATAGTATTATTACAGTATTATATGTCTGAGGGGATTCATGCTGGCAGCAGTGCCTTTGAACTGTACTTGGGAGGTACTTATTTCTAGTTTTCACTAGGGCACTGCCTGTCATGACTGTGACTTGCTATAGTTTCCTCAGACTCTTCAAGCAAATGCCAGGATCATACCCTGAAATGGTTTACAACCACTTTCTCCTCATACCTTTTTACTTCACTGCACATGCTTATCCTCTCATTCAGTGTTAGACAATCTGCGTGACTGATGCAGCACCATTAAATGCTTTACATAACCAAAGAAATAACCAGTCACTATGTCTTGAAGAGGTATAAAGGAAGTTTGTGTAATGTAAGTGTTTCTCTTTCAGTTGTGATAGTATTGAAAAACTGAAAGCAAGACTGCCTTCATTAGAAGTTGAACTGAAGGACCAGTTCAGGTTTAAGGACTTCTACCATTTCACATTTAATTATGCAAAGAATCCAGGCCAGAAAGGCCTTGACCTTGAGATGGCCATTGCTTATTGGAACATTGTCCTGCAAGGAAAATTCAGATTTTTAGATCTCTGGTGCAAATTTTTGCAGGTAATATTTATTCATTTTTAGAATTATTGCTTGTAGGGTATTTACACGCGGGTCATTGAGTGCATTCTCTGCCAGTGTGTGAAACTAGCAGCTGCTGAATATGTGCATTCTGAGTCATACAGCTGTATCTCATATGAGCACCTCAGCCCAGAAGTGCACTGATGTACATTGTCTTATTATTGACATAAGCAAGCACAGTTCAGTAGGTTTCATCAGAGTGTGTTGCCAGAAGATGGCTGTATGAAGCCGCAACATGTAGCCTGACACAGAAAATATCATAATGACATTTTAAGAACATTTTAACTGACATTTTAGTGAGTTGAATGCAAGTTTGGTGTCATCTGAAATAAAAAAGCATGTTGCATTAACGCAGTAGCATAGTTGGTTGAGTCACTATGCTACAAGCCAGAAGGTCGCGGGATCAAATCCCAATGAAGTCATTGGATTTTTTCAATTTACCTAATACTTCCAGCCGCACTAGGAACCTGTGGTCAACTCAGCCTCTAACATAAATGAGTACCAGGAATATTCCTAGGGGTAAACGGCAGCCTGCGCTTAAGGCTGACAACCTTGTTGACATCTATGAGCCGATTGTCTACAAAATGTGGGAACCTCAACATCTCGCAACCCAATAGGCCTTCATGGCCTGTTACCGGGATCTTTACCTTTACCTTTACCTTTTTTTTTTTCCATTAAAGATTGATACTCCAGTGCAACAGGTGCTGAAATATGATATTTAATTTTTCAATAAGAACTAGATTTTTAAGAATGGATCTCTTTACTAGTAGACAAACTTTAAAAATAAACAGCCATAAAACTTTTTACATGTCTTTACAGTTACGTGGTTATTTCATATGTATCTGTTGCCTATTCCTTGAAATATGGGGAAAATTAGCACAATAAACTTTTTAAGACAAATGTACCACATAGCTTTGAACTGTGCCATCTGTGGCTGGTTACACTCACTAACGAATTTGATCTGTTAAAGTGAGTTACTAGCAAGTGGTACACCTTTCTCTTTTTTCTGCATACATGATAAATGTTCCACTCTTTGATTTAATCACCATCAGTACTAAGTGAATGGAATAAATTATGGAAGTTTTGGTGTGTAATTTTCACTATTTTCCACTTCATCTATTTTTAGGTTCAGGTATTATCCTTAAGACTTGTTTTCAAATATTTTATTCTGTTGACTTTTTTTTTCACTCATGATGAGTGATCAAGTTTTGCACCCATAAGACAGGGTATTTCAAAGTGAAAACAGTTGTTTTACCATAGTACACTTCACACCACTTCCTTTTTATTCTCTTTTTGGAACCTGTGATCATACATGTGCATTGGCTTATAAACAGGAGTTGGATGGTACTGAGTAGCCAGGCCAGACACATCATATCTTCACTCTTGGGAAAATTACACAGTAACTTCAGATAACTTCACTGTATAGTGGTACAGATGAGTGTTCAGTCCATAACGTGGCCTGTAAGAACCTGGATACAGCAAAATGTGTATATATTGGGGCTACACTATTTGGTGCATGAAGCAGGTATCTTAACTCATGCATGACCTTTCACAGTGAAGCAGATAGCAACAGTTTTGTTGGCCAAACTGTGACAGACATTTGGTCATGGTTGCACCATTTCAGGTCAGAATCCAAGTGAGTAGTAAAGAAGGGGTCATCCTTATTGCAGATGTCATCAGCTGTAACGATGATGTTGACTTTTGGGGCACGAATAGCATTATAATGGCGGATTTTCTGCAGACTGATCCACAAAAAACAGTGAAACATAATGCAAGTATCTGATGTAGAGTCTGAAGCCAGCTGCTGAGCAAAAATTGTGTTAAGTGCTGTCCAAGAGCTTGCAGGAGGGCAGTTACAATGAAAGAACTGTCCTTAGAAGTGCCCCCTCCCAATGGGGCATACTTATTTTTCAGATCCATTCTCTGCTAGTTTGCTTACCTTACTGGTGTGAAAATTATTATTCATTATATGTAATTAATTGTTCAGATACAAGTAGATTTCAGTTAACTTTGTACTTTGTATGATGTTCTAGTATTGTATACAGTGAATGAATTTGAAGTAAATTGTTACTGTTGACACAGTTCTGTTTGAGGTACTTGTAAAGAAAGATTGATACAGACCAAAATTAAAATTATTTGGCAACTTCCGGTGTAGATTCCCATCTCACTCAGTCATGGGGCTGAGCCGCCAATTCTGCAGCTACTCAAGAATTTCCCAGCATTTTATGGAACCCGAAGGTTCATTGCCATGTTCACAAGAGCCCTCCACTGGTCCCTGTCCTGAGCCAGATCAATTCAGTCCATACCATCCCATCCTACCTCTGTAAGATCCATTTTAATATTGTCCACCCACCTACACCTTGGTCTTCCCAGTGGTCTCTTTCCTTCTAGCTTTCCTATCAATATCCTATATGCATTCCTCTTCTCCCCCATTCATGCTACATGCCCTGCCCATCTCATCCTCCTTGACTTACCGTTCTAATTATACTTGGAGAAGGGTACAAGTTATGAAGCTCCTCATTATGCAATTTTTTCATCCTCCTGTCACTTCATCTCTCTTCGGTAGATTCCCATCGCTAAATTTAATATATATCTGTAGACTTGTTTTGTAAGTGAAACAAGCGGAGATACATAGAAGATTGTTAGACGTGATCTCCCCATTATGGGCATATTTTATACAGTTGATGCAAATAATGCATGAAATGAATACATGAATCTCAGCAAACTACTAAAAAAGCCTCAGTACTTTAGTGTGATACATAGGAATCAGTAACTACAACATGAGAGCATAATTATATTTGATATGAAGTGAATTTCATAGTCTATAGGAGACTGAATTGAGGTACTGTTTATACTGGCATACAAGATGAATGCATGATGCCTAAGACCACCAAATTTTGAATTAAAAATTGTAGTTTTAGGCTGTATTTGTCGGGCAACTGTAAAATAAAACAAGTATGGCTGATATCAACTGGCCAGTCGCAGAATACTATTTATGCTATTAATGCTAGTAGTTTTCTGTATTGTTGCTTGGCTCTGAAATTTTTTATGCTACATCAGGTGTTTGCGAATTATATGTAGTGTCAAATTCATCCTGACACCTTTTCATTTATGCTAATTATGGTCATATTATCTCACCACACCTTATTATAGTGTAATCCCTGTAAATTATGTATACTAAGCACGAGTTTTAATTGAAATAATTATAATGGGTGTTAAGTGATATACACCAGTTGAGAAATGTGAAGTAGCATTCAAAGGTTGAAGGTTCACATTTTATGCTTTATGTATAAGAAGGTGACTAGCTTTTGGGGACCCTTTAAACTTAGAAGGTCACCTTGTATTCCAGTGTGTATTGTATGTCATGCCATTCTCTGTACATTGTGAATGGAGAATTAAAGGCATCTCTCTTCCCACAGGAACATCATAAAAGATCGATTCCCAAAGATACATGGAATCTATTGCTGGATTTTGCAATGATGATTAATGAAGATATGTCCAATTACGATGAAGAAGGAGCATGGCCTGTTCTTATAGATGACTTTGTTGAGTATGCACAGCCAATGGTGTCATCTTCAACACCTCATAGCACTCAAGTTTAACAGGAAGCAGTTGATTAGGTGTTATGACAAGAAATTAAAATAATAAATTGAAACAAAATATATTTCATATGGTTTGTAATCTATTTCATCACCTGACGACATTCAACACAAATTTGAACATCAAGTCAGAATGGAAAAATTATATCCCAGAGTGCGGTACTTAAAAGTAAGCTGAAGGGACTGCATTACAAGATTATTCTGATTGACAGAACCCCAGAAGAAGTTGTAATTTCAAGTATGGTACTTGTAGGGGGCAGGAAAGGTGATTAAACAGCAGAACCAAAGGGTAGGTTTGCTATCAGCTGTCATATAGCTATAGTTGCGGAAATGTTTCGGTGACAGTATGTAACATAACAGGTCCTGTAACTATGGCGACACTGTAGAGCTGCATGACACACCAGCTGTAGTTTTGGCTATGCTAAAAGTATAGCCATTGTAACAGAAACACTTGACCTGCATTTAAAACACGTTTTTTTCCTTATAATGCAGAGAATGTATATAATACGGAGCTCAAGAAGTTAACTGAAAAGCTTTTTTAATTGAAGAGAAAGAAAACTCTGTAAATAATGTATAAAACAGCCGAACTAACATTTTGTGTTTTTTAAGCGAAATCCAGGTTATAATAAATATTATGTAGATTATCATTTTTACATAGTATGTGTGGTTATTTGTTGTACCTATTACTACATGAGAAATATCTGTCCATTGGAACTGCAGTGTATTCCAAAAAAAAATGTTTCCAGTAGTGTTTATTCTAATGTATGAGAAACAGCTTTTTTTTTTGGGAAATGCTGTATGTATAAATTATACTGTTTGTAAAAAAAAAGTGAAAGTGAATGTTGTTCTTAGTTTTTATTACGACATTAATATTCAATCACTGATTTTTGTACTTATATTTCATAAAATGCAATTTACATGCAAGATGCAAGAATTCTGCTTTCAGATAGAAGTCACATACTAATGATACTCAGCATTTACTTTTTGTTATTTAGAGCAAAATACAAGTTGTAAGGAATGGCTTGTTATACTTTGGAAACTTTGTGATTTAAACAGTTTTTTTTTGCATATGAACTAGCAAAACGAATTACAGAAAACAAATCAGATATCACTTATATATTTAGGGGAGATTCAATAAAGAATTTTAACAATATTAAGTGTTTTATTAGAAATGAAACATCATTCCATTGTAAATTTCATAGTTTTCAAGAACTTATGTTAATCAGAGGCCATTTCACCAGCTTCATGTATCTTGAGTGGAGATAACTGAACTCACAGCAGGAGGTTGTGCTCCATAACAATTCTGTGCTATGCTACAAGCCAGAAGGTCGCGGGTTCAGATCCCGATGAGGTCATTGGATTTTTTTCAGTTGACCTAATCTTTCCAGCCGCACTAGGCCTCGGGGTTTACTCAGCCTCTAACAGAAATGAGTACTAGGAATTAATTAAATAATCTCAAATCAGCACCATAATTGTTTGTACTTTATCATGACTACACGTCTCTATCTAAGCCTATGAGTAATACAAATATATGATGTAAGAAGAACCATTTCCTGTACCAATGTACAGGTATTTTGGTATGATTTCTAACTGTGCTGAGGTTTTTATATTTTCCAAAATCCCTCTGAATGAATGTTTCTTTAGCGCCTGAAATCAAATCAATTTGTTAAATTTCAGAAAATAAATGCAACAAATATATGGAGTTGCATTTACATTGCTCCCATTGCAGTGTGTGTAAAGTATACTACCATACATGCATGTGTCTTTCCACATATGTACTTGTATTTAAATTGAAATCAACAAGTCAAGAAAATTTACTCTTGGTATTAGACTGGGAAATTACTTCAGAAATGCAGAAGGACTGAAAAGGCAAAATAAAATTACAATATCAGTGTACGAAAAAGGAGAGCCCAAACGTAGAGAACAGTATTATAACAGATCAGTGAACTGTGAGTGAAGATCAAGTTCCTCTAACAAGACAGGTGGAAGCATATGAGACACTTAGATTGAATGTTAAGAAAGCATTTATTCATTTCCTTATAATATTATTTACACTCTAATAACTCATATATGATACTGGTTGTGAACTGTGCTGGTAAGATCAGCCTTGTTTCTGCATTCATTGCATAAAAGGAATGCATATAGGGCAGGTAACATTCATCTGTCCATCTCATTTCATCTCTGGAACTACTGAACCAACTCCCATTAAATTCTGATCCATATTGGTCCACTACAATCTCTGTCTTACATGAAGCTGAATTCTCACTTCGTTTCATACTACATAAAAGAAAATTATGCATGATGAAAACTTTAGAAGTCATAAACATTTGTGACTTATTTGAAAGGACTTTTCAGTATGAAAGCATTTAATGAAACAAGAATAATGTCAGTAAAATGGATTCACATGCTTAATAATACATTATTATTAGTTACTATAGGATTCAGCGGCCTCCATAGTCTAGAGGTAACGTTCCCACCTCATGACTCTTAGTACGCGGGTTCAAATACCTGACGGAGGTCGTCGAATTTTTAAGGGCGGAAAAATTCAGGGAGGGACTTTAAGCTGTGGGTCCTGTGTCGTACCTTTACAGCATGTAAAAGAACCTCATATCTCCAAAGGAGGCCACCGAGCCAAATTACGGACGTTTCCCGCCCAACAGCAGTCTCTAATACCTCTGGTAGATGGGGGAAGCATTATAGATACCTCTCAGCTAGTAGAGCCAGTCTCGCTGGCCGGGCGGGACTGGTGGTAAGCACCAGTACCGGTAGGATATAGAGACTGGTAGACTATCATAGAGGGAAGCACAGTGGACCAATACAGGTCTAAGTGCACGGGGAAACCCACCCTCTCCAATAACTAACTAACTAACTAACTATAGGATTCTGATGATGGTGTATAACGCACAAAGATATTGGGTTTTCGGACTTTATCCATCGTCCTGGTTTTTAAGTTTCTTAGTTATCTTAAAAACCAGGATGATGGATAAACTCCGAAAACCCAATATCTCTGTGAATACATTATTATATTTTTTTCTGTATGGTTCATTATTGATGTTGATCTGGCTCTTGGATCCTTCCACCATGAAAGTGAAAAATTCCCCACATTGCAATTCTTCAATATGTCACTCAGTCATGGAGCTGACCCCATCCTGAAGAGCCAATGATTGTGCAGCTACTGAAGAACATCCCAGCATTTTATGGAACCTGAAGGTTCATTACCGTGTTCACAAGAGCCCTCCACTGGTCCATATCCTGAGCCAGATTAATCCAATCGACAACATCCCACCCTATTTCTCCAAGATCTATTTTAATATTGTCCACCCACCTACGACTTGGTCTTCCCAGTGGTCTCTTTCTTTCTGGCTTTCCCACCAATATCCTATATGCTTTCCTCTTTTCCACATTCGTGTTACATGCTCTGCCAATCTCATCCTCCTTCACTTGATCATTCTAATTATCCTTGGAGAAGAGTACAAATTTTGAAACTCCTCACTATATAGTTTTCTCTAGCCTCTTGTCATTTCATCTCTCTTCAGTCCAAATACACCTGGGTCAGTTCTTCATGGAACCAAGTGACTTTTGTGATGCCCCCATAAATAAAGTCCTACATTTCATTAGAAGTGTAGGGTTCATAAAGGGTTAATCCAAAAAGGAATCTATTCTGGAAATCTGTGAGGATTTCCATGACATCTTTTATTTGGAAGGGGATACACTGTCGCACACTGACCTAGTTAAGCACTCAAATCCCACCCAAGTCTTGGATGAAAACAGAGCGATAAACGTTCGACCTTACACATTGCCGGAAGCTCACAAGGAGGAAGTGAATAGGCAAATTAGCAAGTTATTGGATGAAGGAATTATAGCACCCTCCAGAAGCGCTTTCAATAGCCCACTGCTGTTAGTACCGAAAAAGGCAGATACCACAGGAAAGGTAAAATGGCGAGTAGTGATTGATTTCAGGAAGGCGAATGAATGAACCGTCGGACATGCTTACTCGCTGCCGAACATCACCGATATTTTGGATCAGCTGGGTAAGGCAAAGTATTTCTCTACTGTTGACCTTACGTCGGGGTATTATCAGGTTGAACTAGCAGAGGAGGACCGCGCGAAAGCTGCTTTTAGTACACCCGCGGGTCATTTTGAATTTCTTCGTCTCCCCATGGGCCTGAAATCCGAGCCGTCTACATTTCAGTCTCTTATGAATTCCGTACTCGCAGGAATGAACCGGTTACGGTGTTTCTGTTATATGGGTGCTGTTATTATTACAGCAGGTTCGCTGGAATCTCACAATGAGAGGCTGAGGGAACTGTTTCAGAGATTCCGCGAAAGCAAGTTGAATATTGAACCATTCAAGTGTGAGTTCTTGAGGGCCGAGGTTCAATTCCTTGGTGACGTCGCCACTGACGAGGGCTAAGGCCGGACCCTAGAAAGACGGAGACATTGCGAAACTTCACCGAATCCAAGACAGTTAAACAACTGAAGGGATTTTTATGGCTCTCCTCGTATTACAGACGTTTCATTCACAACTACAGTAAAGTGGCGAAACCTCTGTATAAATTACCGAAGAAGGACGCGGTATAGGACTGGAAGGAACCACAGCAGAACGCCTTCCAGACTCTGAAGAGCTGTTAGTTACGGCTCCTATCTTACAGTATCCGGACTTTTCGCGACCATGTATTATTACCACCGATGCTTCAGGCGTTGCCGCCGGTTGTGTGCCGAGCCAGGGAGAAATAGGAAGAGACCTCCCGATAGCAGAGGCTAGAAGGACGTTTAATAAGTCAGAAAGAAATTATAGCACAACCGACCGGTAAATGGCCGCCATTATGTGGACTCTAAAACAGTTTCGACCCTATGTACTAGGGAGCCATTTCAAAATTGTAACTGACCACAAGCCCCTTAAATGGGTATTCAATGTTAAGGACCCTAGCTCACGGCTATTAAGATGACGACTTAAATTGGGAGAATGACTTCGCGACACATTACCGGTCAGGTAAAACAATATCGCATGCCGACTTCTTGTCTCGCATACACAAAGGAGATGCTAGTGAGGGCGGTGACAAGGAAGAAGGATCGAGGGGTCAGAAATTGGCAGGATCCGCTACCAGCGAAACAAACGAGACAGTCGATTCCGAAGATTCTGGAAACCGTAGCGAACTTTCGGAATCCGAGAAAACGAGTATTATAAGAGAATATCATGAATCTCTTATAGGTAGGCACACAGGAATCTCAAGAACTTAAGAACGGTTGAAACCCTACGTAAGTTGGCCCAGAAGGGACATAGAAAATTACGTGAGGAAATGTGCATCGTGCCAGAGGAATAAGCACACAGTTCCATACACGAAGATGGCAATGAATGCGCCTTTTGAGGAAGAGAAGTTTGGACTGCATGAGACCCCTGCCTTTAACGGAACAAGGGAACACGTGCCAGTACCAACTATCCAAATACCTGGGTCATTGCGCTTCCAAATCAAGAAGCCGTAACGATAGCGAGAGCGCTAGCCGACAATGTAATCACTGTGTTCGGGTCGCCGGGTTCGATTCTCACAGACTGCGCTTCGAATTTCACTGGAGAAGTAATGCGGCACTTAAACTTTTAAGAATTTCGAGAATTAAATGCAGGTATATTTTATACTACATGTCCTCCAAACGCAAGCCAACAGCTACATCTGCTGCAGTCTTTTGTGATGTTGCAGGAAAACTGGATGTGTTGGACTTAATTGAGACACGGTATATCAGTCTCAGATATGGCTGCAGGTACTTACACATATTAGTGGCCTCCGTAGTCTAGAGGTAACGTTCCCACCTCATGACTTGTAGTATGCAGGTTCAAATACCCGGCGGAGGTCGTCGAATTTTTAAGGGCGGAAAAATTCAGGAAACAAGTCCTCCGGGAGGGACTTTAAGCCGTGGGTCCCGTGTTGTAGCTTTACGGCACGTAAAAGAACCTCATATATCCAAAGGAGGTCACTGAGCCAAATTAACGGACGTTTCCCGCCCAACAGCAGTCTCTAATACCTCTGGTATATGGGGGAAGCGTTATAGATACCTCTCAGCTAGTAGAGCCGGTCTCGCTGGCTGGGCGGGACTGATGGTAAGCACCAGTACCGGTAGGATATAGAGACTGGTAGAAATCATAGAGGGAAGCACAATGGACCAATACAGGTCTCAGTGCATGGGGAAACCCACCCTCTCCAATAACTAACTAACTAACTAACTACTTATACATATTACAGGTTATTACAGGTTACAGGTAAGTCAATAAGTAAGATACAAATGGATATAGAACTAAAATAAATAAGAGTACTGATTTGAAAAATGCTTTTATTTCTCAGCATAATCTGCCTGTACACTGAGGCACTTGACCCATCGTTTCACAAGCCCCTGAAAACAAGCAGCATAAAATTCTTTGGGCTGTTGTCAGAACCAGGCATATTCACATGGCATGGGCCTACCTCATAATGCATGACAAGTTGCATGCTTCCGTTGAATGGCCTTGTGAAGTTTCCTGAGGATGTTACAGTAGGAGTTGGCATTTATTGTTTGTCCTTGAGGCTGGACTGTGGTGATCAGTATGCCTTTGTGATCCCAGAAGACTGTGAGCATCACTTTCCTGGAGGATACTGTCACCTTAAACTTTTTTTTGGCAGGCAAAGCAGGATGTTTCCACTGCATTGACACGTGTTTTGTCTTGGGCTGGTAATGGTGAACCCAAGACTCATCACCTGTGACAATTCGGGTTAGCATATCATGTCCTTCATCATCTTAGTGATTGAGGTGCTGTAATGCCAGACCTATTCTTTGCATTTTGTGTTGTGGGGTCAGCATGTGCGGCACCCATCGTGCACAGACTTTGTGAAAACCTAACCTGTCATGCATTATGAGGTAGGCCATGTCGTGTGAACACGCCTGGTTCCGACAGCAGCCAACGTGACTGTGACTGTGCAATCAAAAGCCTTTTAAGATGCGGATTTAATAGCAGGGACTTTTCTGAAAAGAAAATAATTATAGAAAGAGGACGACCAACATGCGAGTTGCCGGAACTTAAAGCACAAACCAAATTATGTGTGAGAAAATTTAATTTGGAACAGTATTGTAAAACAGAGTGACTATCCGGTTGCTGTAATATAGGAAAATTGTTCTGTTGGCCATGCCTATTATTTCTCAATGTAAAAAATGTATGCAACAAGACTGGGTTTGGTGATATCAACAACCTTCATAAAGCACTGAAACGACATGAGAACTCTCAGGCTCGCATTATTTCAACAATGCAATTTGTTATGCTCAGGAAATCTCGAATTGCCTGTCAACTTGACAATCAAAAGCGCCTGACGATACTACATAGAGAAACAATGAAAGGCTTGATTGATATCATCTGGCAACTTGGCCTCCTTGGTCATGACGAAAGCGTGGATTCTATTGACCGAGGTAATTATGTGGAGTTACAGTATTTACAGGTTTATCGAACAGAAAACAAAACGACATTATTGACTCAATAAGTGACGAAAATTTTGGTGCGTTGATTGCTATCATTCGTTTATTAGATACCACTGCTTCCCTTACCAAAAATAGTACTGCACGCCACTGGTATTGAGGATTAAATCGCTGTCCCTTATACTCTGGCGTATGCCAATTCTTGGCCTTCATATTTGTTTAAATTACACAAACACATTAACAGGATCATTATTCACAAATTCCACACTGAGTTTTTATATACCATAATTTAAACTTTCATACTTTCATAAAACTACGAGTAATAAGAGTTTCAGCTTTATATTAAAACACATTAACCTTCAACGGTAAACATAAATCTATTTACGTATAGTACGCCCAAAGGAAATCTCCAACAGGAACACGATGACACCGAGAGCAACGCCGAGTCCCCAGACGAAGAAAGAAAGGGTAAAATCCACAAGCGTGAAAACCTTTATGTCCCTAGTGTCCTGAAGGTTAGCTGCGCTCTCCCGTAAAGCTTCCAGTTGCAGATTGTAGCTCATGTTCTGATCCCACTTCTTCACCAGACCCGCTTCACTCATTTTTCCGAGCAGATTGTGGATCCTTGTGGCATATGGAGAGCCTTTTGGAATCATGTATGACACAAAATACTCCCTGGGATACTCGTTGACAATGTACAACTTGTCTGGGTACTTGCTAAGAAACCACAGAGCCTCTCCCTTACTAGTCAGCATAGATACGTTCCTATAGAATGCAATGTGGTGTAGCAGAGTCTGTGAAGACATGTTCTGGATCTCAAGCCTGACGGCGAGATTCCTCATGGATGGAGACGCGTCGAATGTGTCCATCAGATTGGGGTCAAGTGTGACAATGGGAAGTCCCGACTCGTCGAGTTTCTGGAGAGTATCACTATCCGGCTGGAAATGTGGGTAAGCGACCGCGTCCAATAGAGAACTCTGGAAGCCACACATGATGACCAGGCTGAAGAAGAGACAGGATGACAGAAGCACTCTCTGAGACAAAGAAGAGATCTTCGTAAGGAAACTGAGGGACATCGTGAGGAACACGGCCATCATGTCAACAGTGTTCGTGAGGCAAGACACTTTCCTATGTAGTTTCCTCAGAACGTACCATAGCATCGCGGTGACCACGAACACGGTAAGCAAGCACATCCAGAACTGGAATGTGAAGCACTTGAAGATGACTCTCCACGAGGAAATTCGGTTTGCTTTGGGAACCACTACCACGAGCTGCATTGTGTAAAAAGCAGGCATGGTGAACTCTATCCTGTTCGTGCCATAATACTTTATATATCTTTCATTGCCCGAGATGTCTGCCTTTCTGTATATCAAGTCACCCATGGATCCCGTGAAACCTGATTCGGCTTTGTAGCCAAATCCTTTCCCGTCCGATGACTGGAGGATGACAGCTGTGAAGTTCATGAATGTGGCCAGGTTCTTTATCACTTCCCAGTCTCGCCCTTCGTATGTGCACTTGTTGGGCCTTTCGCACTTTAACTGAGCGTTGGGGAATGAGTGAAACATGTTGACTCTTATAGAATGCCCTGCTAAGTTCCATGTCCTCTCCAAGTATGTTTTAGGTAATTCTGACACTTGGTCTGGGGTCACATTAGTAACACCACGGCTCTGAATTGCATCAAAACGGTTGTACACCATTATCTCAGTGTGCTTGTCGCAAATGTTCAGATACCTCACCATGGTTACTACATTGAGAATCCAATATTTATTCCAAAGTATCTCGAATATACCTTCATAATTCTGTGGCATGTTACATGTATACCAATCATTATGCAAAATAATTATAATCAAGAAATTATCTTTTGGAGTCCATTCATTTTTAGGATATTCTGCTTCATAATTTATGTATGAATATAAATAATTTTCCTTGTAAGTTATTATAAGATATGAGTGGGACGATTCTGGGGGATATTCTCGAATTTGGTCGACTGGTTCCCCAAATGATACCACTTTCCGCATTATTTCTGAAGGATTCAAATAAATTAATATAATTGGTATATTCAGAGTTTTGTACATTACTTCAATCAGGCTGGAAATAGTGTGATTCCAAACTCTGTTGCTCAAGGAAGGTGCTAGTATTGTGAGGATACTAGTTGAATGGAAATGACTTTCACAAACTGACCAGAATGCTGCATCTTGCACAAAATCTTCAATAACTTTCTCACCATGAAGATAATGTTCTCCAAACCAATTTAGAAGTGCCGCATGTACAATTGTGGAGTATTTCAACAGAAGAACCAGGCAAAATATGAGCTTCATTCTACATTTATTTCCTTAGATATCAAATAAGTTCAAATCCCAGTGCAACTAATTCCTCTAGGTTCCGAAAAAATAATATTTAATTAAATACAATTTTAATTACTTATGCGTCGTGTTTAATATTTCATATATAATGAATTATATATTATGAAATAAACGCATCTCAATCGCTACTGGTTTCCTCACGGACTGTCCCACATCTTAGAATTCTCGAAAGTAGGGATTAGCCCCTTACATATCGATTACCGATATTGTTCGTAAAGATGGAAAGGCGTGAAATTTAATCCAATTACACCTACATTTAGGTGATTAAGTTATTGTCTTCGTACATAAATCTTATTGACACTAAATATAAACATAAAGAGAATTTCTGGAAGAAAAGGACTGAAAGCTAAAAAGTGAACGGAATGTAATATCTTATATCAGAAAGTAAGATAATTGAATTAGCCAGACAGATATATATCTTCCCAGGAAAATGTATCAACCGATCGTAACGGTTGTCAGGCATGCAAAACTTTTCGTAAAGGCGTTATGAATCCATTGACTGCTTAGTAGATTATTTTAAGGGCCTTTCTAAGCAACGGCTCGGTAAACAAACCTCAGCAATAGACGGGTTTCTATGTGGTCAGCGCCGCGACCGTCGCTATGCAACGACGAGATAAACGCGACTCTAGAACAAAAGAGGCTGTATTTTCCGTGTGGTCGGTGCCCAGGTTATATAACGACAGTTACAGACAGACTTTGACTTTGACTTTGAACAGTTTCAGTTATTTACGTGGCAGTGATAAAGCGGAGAGTCCAAGAGGGTTCAGCAGTTGGAAGTACAGGGACGAGAATGGCGCGTTAATTCTGAAGATGAATAGAGAGCGAATTAGTGTAATTTGAAGATTTTTTGTTAGTAATACTTGGAGTTTGTAATGCAGTGAGGCTGTTATAGTTTCTGTATTGGGATCCGTTGCCAGCAGACGACTAGTGAAGACTTGGAATCCTAGTGTGTGTGTGTGTGTGTGTGTGTGTGTGTGTGTGTGTCTGTGTGTGTGCGCGCGCGCGCGCGCGCGTGTGTTCAGCGGAGAAATGGAAAGTGTGTAAATCAACGACAGCGCTGTATTTATGTATTTAAGTGTGATTAAGAGAGGTTGTAAGTGTCAATAAATCAAGTCAACCGAATTTGAACCCTCCATTCTCATCGTCACGCGTGATATTTTGTTGTCAGAAGTTGGCGGCTCGGAGCGTATTGGATTCTTCAGCTGTGGGTACAACTGAAAATAAATGACAATTTGGTATCAGTAATCACGCAGCGATAAACTTGTGACAGTTGATGTTGGAAGTTTTACGGAGTGGATCAAATTAATCAGCCTATTGGATTTACGATTACATCGGGTAGTATATCGCCACATTATGGAGATGGAAAAAATTATGGAAAGCCTGCTGGAAAATATCGAAGCCAATATGTACGCCCATAGAAAAGCCAACAGAAAAAACACGCAAGAAATAGTGGCAAGAATGGAAATCAACCAATTCAGGGCGGACGCGAACCTAAAGGAACTAGAGGAAGACATAGAAATCAACGAGGCGAAGACTGAAAGAAATCTAAAGGAACTGAGAAAAGAAATTCAATCTGGCCGAGCGGAAATGAGATCCAATTTTTTTTATTGCTAGTGGGATGGGACTAAGTCCCTTGTACTGCGGATACTTCTGGCCTATTGTACCAGCCCCAGATGATAGGTGAGGGTGATTATGGAGAAATTGGTGAATGAAGATTGGAGGGTGAAACTTAAGTACGCGGGAAAAACCTGCTCCAGCGCCACTTTGTCCACCACAAATCCCACTTGACCAGAGCCGGGATCGAACCCAGGCCGCCGCGGTGGGAAGCCAGCGACTAACCGCTTGAGCTATGGCGCGGCCTGCGAGATCCACACTTAGTGCCATTGAAGAGAAGTTGGATTCTGGTTGCAAGAAAGAAATACGCATTTTCATTAAAATCCGGTCCCTAGTTATTACACATACAATAATGGTCACCCTTTCCTTGTGCGATGTGGCAAATATCCATTTATTATGAGTGAGGGGTAACCACGTTACATCATTAAGAGAAATTATTTTTTATTGCAGTCTAACGGAATTGCTGTAGTGGACTCTAACAAGCTGACCTCGCATTCCTGGTGTACATGTGTGGATTTTACAGGGAATGTCTGTTTACATACGCGCACCTTACACTCATCTAATTCTAGTTCATTCAGTTTAACATACATTTGTTTCAATGTATCTATCATAAGAAAGTCCTTTTCATTTTCAATGAAAACGAAAATATTCTCACTGTTATTAATTTTCGTGGAAAATGGAACCAGCTTGTATAATTTGTACACCGCACTGTTCACTAAGGGTATCTTCATGACGTACCCCAAAAGATTGTCATTTACAAACACTTCAAAATCAATTATTTTCATCAATACCTGCTCGTAAGCCATTCTTGCGGTGTTAGGTCACGTGGAAGGATAGAATGGGAGTCCTGAAAGGCTCTTATAATATCTCCAGGGGTGATAATATTCCTTTCTGTGCAAAAATAATTGCAAATAACAATGTGTCATACCCTTCCTTCAGCTGACCAATTAAATGTTCAATAATTATCATGTGTTGATTAGTTGCAATCAAAAGAGTGGTTTACGAAAACGTTGGTTCGTCTTCTCCACGTTTTCATTTACTTGCTTCTGCATTGTTCTCGAGTTCTCGTTTATTTGCAGTTCATTGGCTGCAATGTCGACTGACTATGATTTACCGTCTGCCATGTGGAACGCACAACAGTCATTTGTTCCTTGGCTACCTTTAGCATTGAAAGTTGCTCTGACTCTAATTCGTTTATTTTGTTTTAATAATAATCGGCGTCTTCACTTGACCAGGTACCAAATACAATTTTGGAAATCGATCCACTAAAATTAAAAACGCCTCTTTTAGTTCTTTCAGTACGTGTATAGATATTATCAAAATGAAATACCTCCTCCCCTTTATCCTTAATAATTTCAGAAATTATGCGCCGAGTTCTATGAATTCTCGATACGCTCTGAATCATCAGGGACAGGTCCGACTGAAAGGTAGAAATGGCTTCAGCTGGCAATTCTTTACACATTGCTCTAGTCTGAGCGACAAAATCTACAAGCGTATTGTAAGTCGTCCCTAATTTCGATATGTTTACATATGTTACAAGCTTCCATTCTGAAGTGTATGGTTGCACCTGACCTATGTGATCATAGTGCAGTCCGGTCGTGTCCTCACAGTTCTCGACTCTGAGGTCTATGACGAAGATGGCGGCGACTCACATGGCGCTCAAAACCAACAGCGTCTCGACTCGCTTGTCGAGCTCAAACTAAATGAAAAGCTTCAGTCTGTTGCTGTGCACTTTGAAGGTTCGTCCTCTTTGTACCTGAGCGTAATACGCAATTTACGCCTCTGACTTCGACCACGGTGTACGGTCCTATCCACGGGGTAGAAAGTTTCATAGAGCGACCTCGTCTGACCTGTTGCTGTAGCAGAAGTACAAGATCATCTTCGAGGAACGTAACCGTATTTTCCTTCTGGTCATAATATCTTTTAGACACTTCCTTCGAGTTTATTAGGGCCTTCCGTGCTACCTCATGGCTGTATCACGAAGTCTTCTCTCTCGTCGTAGCTAGGGCAACTGGGGCGGCGTTTGTAGCAGTCCTGGCATCGAAGCCTTTCTTCCGAACATCAACTCGAATGGACAGTACTTAGTGCTCGTCTGGGGAGTCGTATTATAAAGGAATGCTGCCGTTGGCAACAGTGTATCCCAGTACTGCTCGTGGCATATAAAATGACGCAAATATTCTGTAATTACTGCGTGCGATCTTTCGACACTCCTATTGCTCTGAGGCCTAAATGGAGTTGTGTTAAACATATGGTGACTGATGCAGAGTCAGATTGTATGCTTGTTCTGTGCTTACACTCACTGAGTTACACAGCACTGGGTATCACGCCCACTATTTCAAGAATTCAAGAAAAAGAAGAAACTACTTTTACTACTATTGCCTCCAAATTCAAAATAACTTCAATCCATAAACCCACTGTGAATACTAAAGAAGATGATTCTGCTCTGGGGTATTACAGGCTAAGTAAATAATCTGAAATTCTCACATCAATTATTAACAGTAATGCTAATTAATTTTTACCAGTATACAAACAAGAACATGTTTTACTCCCCACTCAGGTTTCAATTTCAATACAGTTCCTTCAAAACTGAAGTGTAGAATGAACCCTGAACTTCTGTGGAGATCTCAGAACTGGTTTTTTTGAGCCCAATCTCTAATTGAGGACGATAGCAGTGATGAAGTACTCAGTATGAGAGTTTTGTAATATGTGTGTGTAGTTGCAACCCCATGAATTTTTCTGCTACTGGGATACCCAGCTTGTTGCAAATGTCACTTTCTCCAAATCATCTAATGTCTAATGATGCTAGCAGAAATGGATCCCACAGATATTCTTACCATTTCAAGAGGCATTATGACAGCATAATGTTCTGTCATGTGACTAATCACAGTTCATCATGCCAAACTTGGTGTGGGCAACAAGTTCACTGACTCACTCATGGAGTTGAACCCTACTTGAGAAGTTGTCAATTGTGCAGCCACTCAAGAACTTCCCAGCATTTTATGGAACCCAAAGTCTCATTACCATGTTTACAAGAACTCTCCACTGGTCGCTATTGTGAGCCAGATCAATCCAATCCATACCATCCCATCCTGTCTCTCTATGATTCATTTTAATGTTGTCTACCTATTTACTCGTATGTCTTGGTCTTCCTAGTTGTCTCTTTCCTTCTAGCTTCCCACCAGTATCCTATATACACTGTTCTTCTCCCCCATTTGTGCTACATGCCCTGCCCATCTCGTCCTCCTTCACTTAATCATTCTAATTATACTTGGCAGAGGGTACAAATTATGAAACTTCTCATTATGTAGTTTTCTCCAACCTCCTGTCACTTCATCTCTCTTTAGTCCAGATATTCTCCTCAACACCCTGTTCTCAAACACCCTCAGCCTATGTTCCTCACTTAATGTCTGAGACAAAGTTTCACACCCATTCAGAACCACAGGCAAAATTATAGTTTTGTATATTCTACTTTTTATGTTTTTATACAGCAGACAAGAGGCCAGGCTTCTGGAGTGAATGGTAGTAAGCATTACCCGAATTCAACCTCCTCTTAATTTCCTCCTGAATCAGGTTTTATTTTGTTATAGTCGTTCCTAAATATCTGAACTGTGCCACATTTTCAAAACATCTGTTAGCTATCTTTATATCATGATTTTGTGAATAGGAAGTTAAAAAGCAAAAATAGAAAGCCATTATTTTCTTATTTACCTACTGATGTGCCAGTATCATCATCTTTCTCTCTGAGCTTCTCTGACAGGTATTTTTTCACCAATCGACCTGTTTCTTCTCCACTTACCTTCTTACCGACAGAGTTCTCGGCAGTGGCGGCGGCCCTTTCGCAGAAATTTACAGACAGGGTTATAGATGGCAGAATTGATGTTTAGGTGATGTTCGGCGGCTACGTTTCCAACGATTTCCAGCAAGTAACAAGGAGTTAGCAACGTCTGGAAGTCTGGAAGGTGTGGAAAGTCTGGAATGCTGTATTTGATTGAGGTTATAATCATATTAATTATTTATGACCGATGTTCAGTAAACCTGAACATCTTGTTAGACGAACTGGTAAAAAGGGAGTGGGTCGATATGACTACTTGAAACAATTAGTCTCGGAGTTTAAAGAAACAAAATCAGACGGTACGTATGACATTTTGTTGCCATAGGAATGAATGATTTTTGGTGTGGTACTTGAAACGGGTAACGAACGATCCAGAATGTGTTTCCACTGATGCGGTCCGTAGTATGCTGGTGTTTACCTCACGGTCATTTTTCAAATCCAACTATGAAGAGTGCGATATTCTTGGTTGTTATACAGGGGGGGGCATGTTGCAACTCCAAAGTACATGGCGTTGCAGCTAAGAAAACCACACCGTTCGTTTGCGGTATTCACCTCAGTTGAGTACTGAAAATATAATCTGAATGCTTTTCTTGCCATTCATTTCAGAAGCTAAGGAGCAGGTGCTTGCAAATTTGGCCAACTTTGCCTATGATCCCATTAATTATGAATATCTGCGTAAGTTAAATGTGATTGACCTATTTCTAGACCAACTTTCTGAAGAAAATACAAATATTGTCCAGTTTGGCCTTGGAGGACTGTGCAATTTAGCCCTAGGTAAGTGTTTAAGTGAATATTATTAGGCGAAACTAATGAGTAGAATAATCTTAACTCTGTTCACTGTGGTCCATCACACTAGTAAACTAAATTATTGAATAATAATTGTTAACATAATGTAGGGTGGTTGAATTTGTACATGTTTATTGCTTTTACATGTTTCGGTCAGCTGACCATCTTCAGAAGGCATAAGCTCAACGTGTTTAGAAGCTACTATTACATATTTCATTATATAACACTTAGAAGTTTTTATATGAAATTTATTTACAGTTATTTGGATTAAATCTAATTCATGCTTAATATCTAAGATCTTGAGCCGATATGGTTTGTGTCCTTGTGCCTCCTCTGTTAAAACGGAACATTGGGGTGTTACTCAGAGTCAGCAGGGGTCCTCTCAGTGATGTCCCCGTAACAAGCTAAAAACATGGGGCATCACTTGGCTCTGTCCTGAGCCAGATGACTCCAGTCCACACCCACCTGTATCTCTCTAATATCCATTTAATATTATTCTCCTGTCTATGTATGGTTGAGGCACTATGCTACAAGCTGGAAGGTCACGGGCTCAAATCCTGATGAGGTAATTGGATTTTTTTGGTTGACCTAACCCTTCCAGCCACATTATGCCCGTGGAGTTGACTCAGCCTCTAACAGAAATGAGTACCAGGAATAAATTAAATAATTTTCCTGGGGAGTAAAGCGCTGCCGGCGCGTAAGGCTGACAACCTTACTGCCATCTTGGAGCCGATTGTCTAGATCAGGCATGTCAAACTCAACTTGTACAGAGGGCCACCTCAGCCCTATAAATAATAGTCCAGGGCCACCCTTCAAAATAGAAATATACATTAGCTATCGATGCAAGGAAATTTAATTCTATTTATTATTTAGGAATAATTTCAGTATAATTACCTAAAGTCACATATATTACAGTTTTAAAAAGCAAGAGAATGCCATTTTTGACAAGTATCAAAGAGCTTTTCAATATGTAAAGAGAGAGATCACACAAGAAATTATGTTAGAAATAGCAAAACATTGAATTTCCTGCAGCCTGCTAATTTATGTCTGCGTGAGACTTCTTGTCTTCTGGTATGTTGGAAAATTGTCTTTACAAAAAATATTTCTACTAAAATTTTAATATTGATTTTAATATCAATTAGGTCTAAAAGTTGAGGGGCCGCACTTTGTGGCTATGGGGGCCGCATGTTTGACACGGCTGGTCTAGATAGTGTGGGACCCTCAACATCTCACAACCCTATGGGCCTTCACGGCCTGTTACAGGGATAGCTTTACTTTTTTTTTATGTATAGGTCTTCCAAGTTGTCTCTCTTTGAGGTTTTCCTACCGAAAACCTGTATACATTCCTATTCTCTCCAATGCCTGCTAAATGCCCTGCCCATCCCATACCTGACTTGATCATTCTAATAGTATTTTGATGAGAAGTACACTTTATGAAGCTCCTCATTATGCAGTTTCCTCTAGCCACCTGTCATTTCATCTCTCTTTTGTTCAAATATTCTCCTCAGCACCCTATTCTCAAACACCCTCAGTCTTTGTAAGTTTTGAGGTTTTCACGGCGATGAGTATGAAGAAAGTCGTCTTCTGGGTTTAGGCGCCGTGTAATCTTCGTTTTGGCCAAAACGAAGATTACACGGCGCCTAAAGCCAGAAGACGACTTTCTTCACCCTCAGTCTTTGTTTTTCCATTAATGTAAGAGACCAGTTTTCATACCCATGCAGACCTGTGGGCGAAATTATGATTTTGTATATTTTAATCTTTACAAATTTATATGGCAGGCAAAAAGACAAAAGATCCTGAACTGAATGGTACCAAGCATTGCCCAAATTTAATCTGCTTCTAAGTACCTCATGTATCAGATTTTGATTTGTTACTGTCATTCTCAAGATATCTGATAACTTGCCACATTTTCAAAGGATCTGTCAGCCATCTTTTATAATATCACACACAAAGTTTCAAAGTTTCTGGAAAGCAGGAAGTTGTGACCAGTTTCAGCCTGTCCTGTTCTGTATTTTGGCTTCCATCTGCAGGAAAGAAACCTGTCCTTAAGTCATTGTAAGTACTTGTGCCTGCCATGTCCCTTTCATTCATTCATTCATTCATTCATTCATTTATTGTATATTCCATAAATCCATATACATAGATATAGAACCAGTCACATAGTTAATATAGTACAATACAATTATAAATATATATGTACAGCTTATAATCATTATAACAGAAAAAAAAACATGTGTTAAATTTACAGTCTTACATCACTATACATAAAATTATGCAATATTAAAATTGTTTATGTTATTATCCTTATTTCTAGGCAAATTTGTTACTAAAGAATTCATCACATGTATAAAAAGAGTTTTGCAATAAAAATGTTGTCAACTGAATTTTAAAATTTTTCAAGTCATTAGACATAGATTTGATTTTTGGTGGCAAATGATTAAAGATCTTTACCCCCATGTAACATATTCCTTTTTGGAATTGTGTCAGACTAGTTTGCGGATAATGCAGATCACAGATAGATCTGGTACTACAATTATGCATTTGTGAGTTGAATGTGAACAATTCCTTATTTACTATGACAAACAGAGAGATCGACAATATATATTGAGCATGTATTGGGAGGATATCCAATTCTTGAAACAAACTACGACATGATGTTCTCTTTGTTGTATTTGTTATAATCCTAATTATCCTTTTCTGCATCCTAAACACTTTTATACTATGCGGGGAGTTACCCCAGAATATTAATCCATACGTTATTATAGAATGTACATAGGAAAAATACATAATTTTTAATGTCTCCAGTGGTAAAAAGGATTTAACTGATCGGATTGCAACGCAGGATCTGTTTAACTTATCAATTACTGCATCAATATGACTTTCCCATGTTAAAAAATTTTCAATTTTTAATTCCATAAATGATATATTAGAAATACTTGGAATTTGATTGTTTAAATAACTAACTTGAACATTTAAGTTTTTACTGTTTTTAGTTCTAAACTGTAGAAAATAAGTTTTTCCATAAATTATTACTAGCTCATTTTTCCTAAACCATTCATTTATCATCTCAAATAATTTATTTATTTTAATTTTAAATGTAGCAGGATTCTTATCAAAGATAAGGATACTTGTATTGTCTGCAAATAATATTGGTTTGGATAGGTCAGATATAATTTTTGTCTGTGGCAAAGTATAAAGTATTCAATTCCTTGAAATATCTGTGGAGTTCCACCTCCAAACCTTCATTGCACATATAACAGGTATTAATTTCATTTATTCACCTTCCATAAATCCTGTCAATACATTCTCATGCAGATGTGGAGATCGTCCTAGTTACAGTCACAACTAAGAATTAAAATTTTCATCCAGTGGCATACACATTTGTAATAAAATACTGATAAACATATACAATATAATAAATAAGTTAATTTTAGTAGTAAAAGTAATGGCAAACCTTATACAATTCGTACAGTTTTATACAAGTCTATTGATTAAAAATTCAATAGTTAAAATACAGTGTCATTAATGAGTTTTGTGTAACATACCTTAATAGTATAATAAATTGAAATAAAGACTAGTATACAGTGATATAAAGATTATGTATATCTAAAATAAATATATATATATATATATAATAGTTAACATTTAATTCATTTAATTTAAAATTTCAGGTCAAATTTTAAATGCAGTGGCCTTGAGCTGTTTTAGTATGAGTAATACCATTCTAATATATATATTAAAACTGCATATTCAAGCCCATTGCTAGTTCTTTAAAATAACACCAATTTCAGTTCTGTGTGTCAAGTACAGTCAGAGTTGGTTCATGTTTGTGTTATAATGTGTGACTGAGATGTCATTAAAATAACAGTAGGTGAGGTGGTGAGCTGTGTTCCTTTGACATGGAATGTCTCTGAAGCTGAAGTTTGGCTCTGTTGCATAGAGTAAAAGAGTGAGGTTGTCCATATTAAGGAACACAATATGTGAAGTTGTATGCAGGACTTGAGGTATCCCTCCACACCACTGCCAAAGACAGGTGCCCCATCACCCATTAGACAGGATACTGAGTGGACCACGGAGCCAGTCTGGACACAGTGGCTAAGAGAAAAATCTGTACCTTTATCGTGACTCAAACCCAGGATTTCTGCCACATAGCATAGTTTATATACTGAATGAACTGCCACAGGTTTATCATGCTACACAGTATGAGAAATTAATTTTCCTTGTGTGTATTTTTTCTTTCAAACAAATATTTTTTTAAGAAATCGATCTTTATTTAATGTGTAGCATATGATGGACTGATTAAAATCAGAATAAAATTTGTACAGCTACTTTTCATGTAGGTTCTCTGTATTGTATTTAATTAAAAATCAGATTTTTGGAGAGCAAGCGTTTGGTCAAACAGGTGATCTCTTCACTATATGTACATTATGTGCCCTTTGTGGATGCTGCAAACACACTTTACTGGGACTAACAAAGATACTGGTGAGAGCCCTGATTTGTTCACATGCGTTTGCACTTTTGTAACTTACAGACTGTTCACCGGCAACAACATTGGTCTTCTTTTTCCTTTTTTTTTTTTTTTTTCTCGATATTGAGAATAAGGAGTATATTGTGCATTGTGGTGGCGTGCGGATTGTTGCTGCTTGCTTGTCATCGCGCGATGAAGAAACGGTTCTGTCAGCAATGTCAACACTTATGTTTCTGGTCACACCACAGTCAAAACTAGGTAATGGAGTGTTATTTCAGATAACATGAAGCCATAAGCAGAAATGAAGAGTTGTGTCATCTGGGCTATAATGCCGCGCGGCCCGCTGAAAGTCTACCAATGTTCTGTTGCAGAAGACATAACCGTTCATAACAACTCTTACAAGAATATCAGTTCCTATTCAGCAGAAATGTTTCTGCATACTGTATGCTGTCATAGAGTTGAAGTTTGCATGTGCCCTTAATATTCATATCATGATTGCAATATATTCAAAATAGAAATGATTTAATTATAGTCACCTTATTATTTTTATTGTACTTTGAATGATTACTCCTTTTACATAAAGTAAGAATGTGTCCGCAATATGCACAGATGATTCAGATAGGGCAAATTTTGCATTTCTCTGCAATGAAGAAATATTTGGCAAAACTACAATGGCCCTTTGGACTTGAAATGTTAGTGGAACATCCAGTATTAGCCTGCATATGGCACAGCAGTAGACATGTAATTGTAATACAGTAAGTGAACATCAATGTCAGTGATGCAAGAGAATTGTGCTTTGAAAAATTTTGTACTTGTTTGTGGTGGACTTCTCCACTGTCATCATGGCCTTCGTAAATGCAGTACCGTGGTTCTGATAATCCACCATCCGTTTCTAGTTTCTTACAATAATTTGCACTCATTTTTAGATGTGATTTTTTTTTTTGTTCTATAGTAATTTTCTGTAATGTGACTTCATTTATAAAGATTGTGCTGAGTACAAAATGACCATCTGGTGTGGACCGTAAGGTTAATTTTGTCCTTAACCACTTTACTCCAGTTTGTATAATCACCAGAAGGTTTAATACTGTTGCCACAAAAGCCCATCTGCAGATGTTATTCTTAGTCATTAAGTGCAGTTTATACAAGGTGTGGCAATAAAGAAACCGGATTCATGCTCTAACCCTTTATTAAAAAAAAATCAGACAGTCGAAATGTTATCCCCTTCAATGTAGTCCCCTCCCCGATCCCTACACCGCTCCATGCGAATTTTCCACTGTTGGAAGCAGTGCTGCAGGTCATCTTGTGTTATGCTCTTCAAGAGTTGCGTCGCTTTTGCTTTCACTGCATCCACGGACTCGAACCTGGTCCCTTTCAGCGCAGACTTGATTTTTGGGAAGAGAAAAAAGTCGCACGGTGCTAGGTCCGGAGAATACGGTGGATGTTCCATCACTGGAATGTTGTTTTTTGCCAAATACCTCTTCACAGATAGCGCGTTGTGTGCTGGCGCGTTGT